CATTTCCACCCAACGTTTTCCTTAATTCCCTAGCGCATTTATTCAATTCACGTTAATTTGCATATTATCAAGTGCTTAAATACGTCAGCATTTAAAATCGCTCCGTTTCTTCTTTCCATTTTGTTGTTGTTGTTCTAAATACTCGTTTAATAGTTTTTGTAAACAAATTACCACACTTTCATCGTTTTGTAGATACATACATTAGTCCACTTTGATACACAACTTTCTTTTTTGATAAACAGCTGTAGATTGAGAGTTTGATAAAAAATTATTGAGTATACACTGCAAATACAGAAGAAATGCTGTAAATACTACACTATCCTGTTTTAATATCATTAAATGTATACTTTCTTTCATATATCTCATTTTGAAATCTTCAATTTATAATGAGAATGTAGGTGACGAAAAATTAGAAGAAGATGGATAGAGAAGGTTAAAAATGAAGAGGTAGGTATTAGAAAGAATAGGAGAACAGAGGACTCAATGGAAGTCAATAAGAAATAGGAGAGATAGGTTGGTAGGACATGAAGGTCTATTCAGAGACATAATAGAGACAGAAACGGGAGTTAGGAGGAGTAGAGGTAGACCTAGATTAGATTACTGTCCTCAAATAGTTAAGGATATTGGTTGTTATAGTTTTGGGGAAATCCGAAGATTAACTCATGATAGGAAAGATTGGAGGTTCGGGTCCAACCAGTCTTAGGACTGACCTTATGATAATGACGGAGTGCAGAGCTTCAAAACAAGAAAAAGTATGAAGAAACTGGATTGTCGGATTGAAATCCCCATGATGGATCATGGTGGTGTCAAAAGTGTTCACACAGAGAACAGTAAATATTACCAAAATGTCAGCAAAGATATTTTCACTTTGGTTACGTAAATCCATAAATGCAACATTTCCGTCATATCCTATAAACCCTTTATGGAAGGCCAAAATCAAAAATCTACAAAATGACCCCAGCAAAGAATTCACATCGCCTATACATACATATATCCATCTCTGTCCTTAGTTCTTTGTCTAGATAAAGTGACTGCCGCAGTTCGTATAATGTAAAGCCGTTCATAAGTCGTCAGGAAACCGTCCTTCTTCCAATGCAATATTTTATTTAAATCAGATATTCATACAGGAACGACAGCGAAGACGAGGATTCAGTACAAAGCTACACGTTAACTGGTCCCTGGGACTCGAATGGAATCTTTGTCATCACATAAAACCAAATACGAAAAGAATCGATTCACTATATCTACCTACATAAATATGATTCCTACTCAATTGCTCTTCAGCGATATCAAATTCCACGAAAACTCGATACCACGAAAAGCTCCAATTAAATGGAGAAAAGACAATGTAGAGAAAATATCAAACATATCGACTCTCTTTTGTATTACAGTTTTCTTTTGTTTTTCCTAATCAGAGTTTCGTTAATTAAGCTTATATGAATTCTCAACACTTGACCGTATTTTGGGATCATTTTTTGTCATCTTGTTCAGCTCCTCCTTCGATACCGCCTTTATATCCTCAGTCGTAGCGTAACGTGATCCTTTCATGAGCCTCTTCAGTTCCGGGAACACAGGGGGCCAGATCTAGGGAATACGGTGACTGTGGCATTATTAGTGTGTTGTTTTTGACCAAAAATTTGTTCAATCTTATCATGATGCAAAAGTTCACTTCGCACAAATTGTGCATAACTTGCAGGTCCTTATTGACCATTCTACCCTGTAACAAGAACTCATGATGCACCACGCCCCTGCAGTCGAAGAAAACTGAAAATTGACCTGACTTGGCGCGCTTTTTTCGTCAGCTTCCATTGGGATGATTGAGCTTTAGTTTCTACATGAGAATCACAAACACATGATTCGTCACCAATTATCATCCTCTAGAACAAATTTGGGTCGTCGCGGATAGAGTCCAACAGCTCCTTAGCAATGTTAATGGGATGCTGTTTTTGGTCAAAATTCAGCAATTTTGGTACGAATTTCGCGACGACCCGTTTCATGACCAAATCATTGGTAAAAATCGAATGGTAGAACCCAATGGATATGTTTAGGTCCTCAACAACTTCTCTAACGTGATTCGACAATTCGTCAATACTATTTTCTCAACTTCATCAATGTTTTCGTCTGTGGTTGACGTGTTCGGGCGTCCAGCACGCTCTTCGTCGTTCACATCTTCTTGGCCCTCTGAGAACATTTTGTACCACCGATAAACGTTGCTTCGGTCCAAGGTAGCTTTACCATAAGCCACAGTCGACATTCGGAATGCGCCCGCGTACTTAATTTTTTTTCCGATTCGATTCCTAGTTCTCCTTTGGTAAAGTGTATCAAGGGACCCAATTAATGTGCATTTCTGTAAAACTCAGCATAAGGCTCGCAATAGACCGGAAAAAGCCGACGAAGGGAAATTGCGATCGGTAAGTCTTCGTCTGCACATCGCCTACATTGCATCAGCTCAGCCCGTGTTAGGCGGAAGAATAAGCCGTTCGCGTTCGTTCAAAATGACATCTGATTGATTCAGTTAAATCAACGATCGCGATTTCGTTAGGAACGGAAAATATTTCAGCCACGACAAGGACTTATTATGTCGCCAAGACCGAATTTGTATTCTTCCGAAGTTGAATAATAGAAATCGCTTTTTGTAAGCATTAGCGAAATTAACTTTTTCCGTTATGACGAACAGAGAACTGGGCTACATCTTTCATGCAAAATTTACTTCCATTCGAAATGTAATTAACTTTCGTACGAATTAACAGAGGATACCCACCTGTACACTGTATTTTAGTTGTTCAGACAAGAAGGAGAGACAATTGTATAATGTTAAGTTAAAAAGTTTGAGATGAAACTAATGAGCTCATAACAGAAGTTGTTTTCATAATACTTCTTGAAATAGAACGTAAGCCATTGTGTAGATGGGTCTACTTAACCTTATAGATCCTTCCATATTCGTACCATCAACTTTTTATATAGTTATCTCCAAATTCTTGAATATTCTTGAGATCGTAAACTGCCGTCCTATTGGAGAACTGATTATCGATATCTTTTAAGAGTAAACGAAAGGACTGTAAATTTCGTATAAAGAGCAACAGGCAGTTATAGAGATGGGGCTGTAACGAGAAGTAAATATTAGGAAGGACACCTTCTCAGGCATGAAGGTCTAGTCAGAGGCATATTATAGGCGAAAGCGGAAGTTAGAAGGGGTAGAGGTAGACCTAGATTTAATTACTGTTTGCAAATAGTTAAAGATATGAGTTGTTCTAGTTATAGGGAAATGCGAAGATTAGCTCAGGATAGGAAGGAGTGGAGGTGCGTGTCCAACCAGTCATAGACTCACTGACGACCTTATGATGATGGTATACCTAGATGAGTTTACAGAGTAATCTTAGTAAGGATCTGATTGCCAATCTTTCTTGGAACCATTCCGAACCTTGCCAATTTCAGAAATGAATCGTTGACTTTCACGAGAGATGTCTGAGTGGCGATTCTTAATCTTTGAAATATCATATTGAATTTGGAATAGGACAATCCTGTCTAAATTGAAGAAACTCAATCATCCTTTGGCGCGTCATACTTATTCATAGTGTAGCGATCCGTCTGTCTCACGCCACTTCGCGTCACACACCCCACACGTCTTCAAATGTCTAAGGCAGAGAGCACGTCGTCAGTCTTACTGATGAGTCCAGGCGTGCTCTCGGGACGAAACACCTTTTCTCACTTTTCAGTAGACAACGAGAAGTCTACATTGGTGATCCCAACAATGAACAAAAAACGAAGTCTCCCTACTATATCCGCATCCTTCACTCTGGGAACACACAAACGCTGCCAATACCATGAACCCAACTCGCTCAAACTTCTCAAATCTCGCCGATCATCGCACAGACGCACGGCAACACGCCCCACGTCTCTTGACAACGCACCCCGTGTTTCTCAAAAAAGAGTGTGAAGAATTCGGAGATCAATGACGACTTCTCAACTTCGCCCTTCTCGCCTTCCGACTCGACATCTTCCGTATCGCCTCTTCTCCTTCGACCTCGTCGAAACTGGACGGGGAGTCCTGTAACGACCCGTCTGTCTCGCGCCAGTTCGCGTCACAAACCCCACAGGTCTCTAGATGTGTAAGGCAGAGAACACGTCGTCAGCTCTACTGATGAGTCCAGACGTGCTCTCGAGGTGAAACATCTTCTCTCACAACGAGATATCTATAAAAGAATATCTCAAAGTCTAAAGCTGAACATATTCCGCTAGAGGTACGAATACGTCTGAGGACGAACAGGCTCGTGGCAAGGCGAGCCGGAACAAATACCTCTTGTGTATCCTGGAGAGCTCTTACCGATTCGAAACGAATGGGGGGGCAGACAGCCTTTGGAGACGCCGAGGCAGTTTGCCATATTTAGTTTATCTGTCCACAATAGACGTATTCTTTACGATTGGCCTTGCCTCAAACGTGTTCTTAAACCATAATATCAAATTGATACTGGATAAGTCGTTCCATGATACCCTATTGATTTCGACTATCTCATCTACCTATTTGGACTGATAACCCTCTTCAAGTGATGCCTAACTACTACTTCTTGCAGAATTTTGGTATAACCAATCTCCATCGTCCCAGTTCCTGATGCTGAATCTCTGCCATTTCCTGTTCGAAAGTCAACAAGATCTCTACAGCAACATAAGACCTGCTCAAAGGTCCTGTCATTGCTGATTAAGGAAGTTGAAACTTTTGCGGTTTACAATACATCATCGTCGGTTTATTGGTCCAGTGTCCAACTTCGTAGAGCAATCAGTTATCCGTTTGTACAATTGGTGTCACACGTCATCCCCCAGACAATCTATTCGTTCGAGTGGATTCTCTGACAGCTTCCATCCCAGGCCACTATGTGAAGATCTAATTATTATCCACTCCAGTGTAATAACAGTGGAGAGTCGTCCACCGGGCGGCGGCGACCGCGAAGTAATTGCGATATCGATCAAGTAGTTGGAAGGTGGCGAGGAGAGTGGTACATAATCATAAATAGTCTGACATTCAACACAACCTTGTCGACTACGTCATCGCTATAAAGCGGCAAGGAAAACCGTGGCCGACCGATGCCGCCGCCGATATCTCTGTCTCTGTTGTCTACACTTGCATGTCTTGCTTGGAAAAATATGTCTGTGTTCTCCGGTCAGTGTTTCGTGAAATTTCCGTCGACGCAGTTTTGTTGAGTTGAGGTGAAACGGTGAAATCGCGCCTAGCTTACTTGGATTATAATAAAAACGTTATAGTTTAGATTTGTAATACTTTTAGGTAAGCTACGAGCATAAGATATATACATAGGTACAATATCAATTTGTAAATCCAATTAATAATGCATTTGTTCAGCTTTGACTTTCTATTCACTGTAGATAATTAACAAGCGCCTGACTAGAATTATGTTTAGATTCTACCATTTCTTGATGAAACGAATTTTCAAGAGATTACGACGCATAAGTTTTAACTATTTTTTAATTTTGCGATAATCTTGAAAAAAATACGAATTCAAGGTGCATACTGAAGGAAACAATAGTCTTGTTTATATGATCCCCAGAACGTTTGTAGTTTTGGCAAATTTTCAACTTCAGATCAATAGATGTTGCTTGAAATGGAACACGCACATCTACGAGAATACAATATGTTTTCTTCATGATTTCCAAATCACATTGCGAAATGGTTAATTTTGTTTGATTAATTGGTGATAGTTTAGTAAACATAAACTTCCAATGTACTTTAACAATAACGTAAAATACATCGTACAAACTCATGTTTCCAAGCATGGACGTCAGTCTTCAAGAAAATTCTCAAAAATTTTCGATGATTCCGATCGATTTTGAGAAAAACTCTTCGCTAACTGCACACCATCCGCAAATTCAAACAATAATCCTATCGATGGCTATCACATTATCCAAAAGCTGCTCCTATGTGGGCATCTGTTTTCATATTACTTACACAAATATTTTTGCCTTTCCTTTTTTATAACGATTTTTTATCACACGTACGTTAAAATCTAAATTAAGCAAAACAAACATTTTACGTCTAAATATTGTACATGACACACATGTTTTACTGGTGATTATAATAAGTAATAATAATAACAGTACCATTCTTACTTTAATGATGTCATGCTGATAACCTTGCACTTACATACCCAAATACACATATGAGTGTATGCTATGAATGTGACGTATCATTAAAAAGAAATCGGTTTTACATGGAATTATAAAATTACTTTGGATACACCGCATGTGTATGTTCTAAGACTAACACTCTCTCTTCAAGTAGAGCACCTCCCAGTGAGTGAGATTGTAAATCAAAATAACCCAAGATGTTTAAGTTATGTTCAACATATGTAGGAAACTGTAAGATAGTATTCGATGTGACCATTTTTGACAATTCAAGGTTGGTCAGAACACAAAGTAAACAACTGATTGTCAATAGAATTAACATTTTATGCAGTTTAAACAATAACATGAAGACCATGCAAAATGGAAGAAGAAGCCCTAGACGATGATACAATTTTAAGTTAGTTAAATTAAGTAGGTAATCAATTATTTATCATCTGGTTGACATCCCATTTTCGCGTTTCCTTTTCAAGCAATGAGGTTCCTTTATTATAGTTAATAATATTTAGATTACATAATAGGATCTTATAATATGGATCGTTTGACTAAAATAAATCTTGGTAATTTTTTACATTAGTTGACATTGGAATTGAGACATGAAGTTTAGTCAGGTAGGTAGTACTCACCAAGTGAAGTAGTGTAGTAGTATTTACTAGAATTTTGTTTATTATTTGTTTAAAAATGAATGTGAGTGAGATACAGGCCCTTAAAGTTTTCTTAATCGGAGGAAATACCGGTAGGTACGGCCCTGGCTTCAGCCTTCCGTCAGCTGTTCCCGCCAAACATCGTTTGTCCTAAAACATATCTTCTTAACATTATTCTAATGTATCAGCCCGCCTTCGGCGGGCAGGGGCATTAAACAAACTCGAGTCTGTCATACATCTACCTAACTAAACAATGACGTCATCAATGCATATTTGGCGAGAACAGCTGACGAAGGGCTGCAGCCAGGGCCGTACCAATCGAAATTTCCTCCGATTACATAACTTTAGAAGCCTGTATCTCGAGCTACATTGGTTTCCGCACGGAATTAATGCTACCACACGATTCTACTTGGTCAGTACTACCTACCTGACTAAACTTCATGTCTCAATTCCAATGTCAACTAATGTAAAAAATTACCTAAATCTTTGTTGTTGTCAATCTCAAAGATACCTCATGCTGCTGCTCAAGGTCATCTACATTACAAACTATTTCGTTCGCTGTTAGTCAGTAATTTTCTCATTAACTATTTGCATTGGGACAAAGAAAATACTCTATTAATTATCCATACCACATTCATTAAAAAAGTTATCGCGAAAAATTTGCTTATATTGCAAACGAAACTTCGTTCTCCCCAGAGGTAATTGCGCGAAGGTTTCAGATATTACTTCTACCTTAAGCTTAACCACAACCCCATAAATCTTTCTTTTTACGATGATATGCCCTACCTAGTAAATTATTTCTACAATATTGTAACAAAAATACTTATCCATCATGGCACCTAATATCCACAATAGAGTCAATGTATCGCCATCTGGTGGGTATTTACTGCTACTAAAGTATTTCAAGCGTTAGACAGGGCTTTACTAAAAATAAGGTATTTTAACTTGTCTTACTAAATAGACGATGTACTTTACTGTTTTTAAATGCTGCACTTAACATAAAATTAATTAAATACTACAACAATACCCCTCCCCCCTTATTTCCGAATGTATTTTGTGAACGTTCCCTAAATTTCTGACTGAAAACTTAGAAACGCTCTTACTACGGCATCTTTTTGACGTGACAACGTCTTATAATTCGATGGAGCCGGCTACACGCACGAAAAAACATGGCTCATGCGGCGTTACCTCGCTCTGAGGCGTTCCATTTAAGGCTTGAAGTGCAAGCGAGAGCGCGGAACGAGCGACAAAGAGGCACAATCGGCCTCCGCGTTCGGCAGCGTTCGACATCCGTCTCTCTCCTACTTGAGTGAGCGATGCGTCCGCGTGGAGAGCTGCTATACAATAATACATTTCCATTTACCTCCTCTATATCCATACAAAATACCTATCAAACAAATAAAATTAAAATTTTCTTTTGAAAAATGAAACCATTCCATCAGTATTTTCTTATGACGTTGTCACGTTCAACTATCGTCAGTAAACCGACTTTACAGACAACCGATTTTTTTAATGAAAACAATTCCACTTATCAAAATCGATTGAAAAATGCTGTCACCCCCTAATAAGATTTGAAAATACCAACAAAATAACAGTTCAAAAGTTTTATCCGTACAGATAGATTGCTTTAGAGCTTTGTATCATTTAGATAATGCTTATACGTTAGGCATTAGGACTTTCATAGTTTTTGTACGGTGAGATTGAAAAATCACGCCATTTTTACGGACCAGTTTTCACAAAAGCAAATCCCAGCTTACCCGGGAAATAAAATATCGAACAACTCTAGCGTTTAACTACCGTATGCTCTGCGGTTCACCACTTGGGTCGTAAACTTAAGCAGTAACAGGTTAATGACGCTATTTACTTTCCTATTTAATGCCAGGCATTTTTCTCAAGGGCTTATCGACACCCAAATCTTAATCAACGGCAATCTACAAAAACATTCCACCATTTCAAAATGGTACCACAAAAAGTTGTGACTTGTTTTCAAGCTAAAAAGAAAACGCATTAGTTTGAATCGTGTCTAAATAGATTGTCGAAAGTGTGTATGTGTTTAAAGCAACAACTAAACCTTAATATCATTCAGCCCTTCAGAAAATTAAGATATTTATTTAAAAAATAAGAATTGAACGTTTCTTCTACGAGATACCCTTTACTTGCCCATAAATTGTGTAAAAATCCTCTTACAAAGTGAATGAAATAAAAACTTCAACTATTTTAATTTACAGTCTGTACGTATTTACGTAAATGCTTAACTTGCCTTTCTGCTACTTCTAATCATAATATTTACTTCATCTCTCCGATGTTTTTAAAGCTCAGCAAAAGTCCAAGGGATTAAAGCACTAAACCAAACACGTCTAAATTAAAAGTTAAGTACATTTTTAAAAATTTTATGTGCTCTACAATTCCACAGTTCTCATGCCAAAGGCGACGCTGATTCCTTTCTACGTATATTACAAAATCCTCTGACGATCGCGAGTCGTAAGTCAATAAAAGTGTTTACTACTGTATACATTAACCATTTGACTGTCAGAATTAATCATTCACTTAGTAAAATTCCCTACTGCTAGCCATATCAATAAAATAATGGATCATAGTCGTCGGTTTCCTCACGCTTACGTTATTAGATGAACCGCTCAGGCGTATCCTTCCGTTTTATCGCCTTTAATGCTGCTGCACCTTTCGGATCAATGCTGGAATAATGCTAATAAATTTTTATGGCCGGCAAAATTGGACCGAAAAGAATATTAACGAGTCATAACAGAAGATTTATTTACCAACATTTGGCAAGCTTCTCAAAAAAAAAAACGAAGTTCATCTCTTTTCGATAAACGTCATGGGAATATTATAGGAAATAAGCTATACTGCAAGTCTATATATATATGTGTTCATTGTCGAAGGGATCAAACCATAAAATGAATAAGAAACAGACAATTTTAATACTTATGCAAACGTTGAAAAGAATTGGAAACCAATCTCAAAGAAAAAGGTCAAAACAAAATGTATTCTACAGTTTTCTTCATTATACCGTAATTTGTTACTGTTCTCTTCCATCTACTAACCGCTAGGTGTTCGTACTGATCGTAACAGACGATTGTTTTACATCGTCTACCAACCGCTAGATGTCACAGTTTAATAATATGTACCTACTTACGATAATTTCATTACTTACTCTAATTTGTTTCTCATCCTTCTCTAAATTCACTCAAATTGTATAGTTAATTTTTTTTGTCAAATAAAGACACACCGTATATAATAATTTCCATTGTGTTATTGAATATTATTCTTTAGATTCATTAAAAATTGTTATCGCTTCTCCGATTTACAAATAACAACAAGCTAATTTCTATCTATGTGACATTTGAACCTTTACAATAATGTTATTGATACACATACTGGACACATAAAGAATTCAGGTTCATTTTGTTACAGATTTAACGTGATAGAATAGAAACAAGAATGAAGATAATTGTAGGACATTTACTATATTTTTTCGCAGTAATAGGATTAGGAAGCACATATTCAAGTAAGTAATAAGCCAGAAAATATTATCTTCTTTCTCAAAAATTCTATTTAAAAAGAAAAAAATTTAAAGTAATGGTTTCTCTCAATTTTCAGAGTATGGTAGAACATGTAAAGATATAGGATGTACTAGTAGCGAAGTGTGCGTAATGGCAGAGGATCCCTGCAGCTATTATAACAGGGGAAACGATTGTGGATCGTAAGTAATTAACCTGATCTCCTCATATATTAATTATTACTAAAGAAATGATAATAACTGAATATTGCAAAAATTATTATGTAAAATATAATAGTAGATAGTTACATAAACCATAATCTAGCGATGTACTAATGTTTTTACATAACAATTAATTGAATTACCGAATTTAAATTAATTAGCAAAGATTTGACCGCTTACCTTTGCATAATAGAAACCCAACGTTCAAGGTATCTTAACTTGCGGCTCACCTAGAAAAAAATCATGAATGTTACAAAACATCAAATCTGAATACTGAAACGGGAGTTAGGAGGAGTAGAGGTAGACCTAGATTAGATTACTGTCCTCAAATAGTTAAGGATGTGGGTTGTTCTACGTTAATTGTGGG